AGATGAGAAAACGGAGGCACAGAGAAGTAACTCACCCATGGCTCCCACAGCAATTCAAGGGCTTGCCTGCACAGAGAAATTAAATTTACTGGCAGAACTATCCCCACATAGACATTTATTCCAGAATAAGAGTGTCCACATGGTGAGTTAAACCACAAAAACTACAGCCGTACAATTATACTAGTACAGGTCTGCCAGTAAATTTTCCCATGTAGACAAGTCCTAAATGACAGTGCTCAGAATAAAACCCAGTAACTTGAATGTCTCTACTCGAAACATTAGAAAAAATTCCCTCATATGAGAAAGTGCCATGGGGACCTTAATGTTCATGTAGGTCAGAGGGAATCATTTAAAAGAATCTTCTATAAAATAAAATCCTTAGTAACCCTAGAAAAATCAAAATTCTACAACTCTTGAAAAGAACTCAATACATCTCCCTTTGAAGGACAAAGGAGAGAAGATTAAAATCTGTGGTTTCAAGGGCTCTAAATGCATCAAACCTATTTATATCCTAAAACATCCCTCGTTAGCCACTAAGAAGCAAAATAAATTCAATGTTTATAAGCAGCTAATGCCTTTATCAAAACTATACTAAGTTTTCAGTATACAGAGAATTTTGGGTTCAGTCATTTGAGAAGGCTTGCTCTCTCAGTCACTACTACCCACATTTATTTGGCCATACCGGTCTCCATCCTGACCCCCGAAATTGCTATATTTTCCTTGGAGAACCCAAGAGCACCTCATTAGATGTACAACATTTTATTCACACTTGAGAACCACAGGTTTGAGTATCACTGCTCTAGAGCAGAGGTTCCCAAATTTTTTTTGCTGAGTAAGCCTTAGGAGCTTCGTATCCCATGCGTGCCCCCAGCTCAAGTGAGCGTGACAAGAACTTTACCGTTAAGCAGGTGGTCCTGGAGAGTGAGCCCACCCTAAAGACCTGAAGAACCAGATTTTCTCATTTTATTTCATTTTTTAACACAGAGCTCTACCCAACAGCAGTCAGATCCTTGCACCCCACTGAACCTTGCTGTGCTGCTCCCGAAGACAGGTTCACCAACACCTCTACTCCAGAGGCATGTTTTGTAATCCAGTTCCATAGCCTCACCAGAGAGTAAAAGTTACAAATATACTTTGTATTTTTGGTACCCTGCCTTCATGGGAGGATCTATAGAAATAAAAAATATAGTCTGATTTAATGATTACGTAATGAACACACAGTTAGAACAGAAAGTAGGATTTTATTTAATGCTGACCAGGTTAAGATGAAAATACCTTAATATATTTAAGCTCTCATTGAGTTCATCTTACATACAAAATAAAAAACTGATAGTCTTAAACCTAGAACTAACCTTATCTCCTGCTATTTTGAAATACACATCTACCTCGATATAACACTAATTTGGATATAACGCGGTAAAGCAGTGCTCCGGGGGCGGAGGGTGTGTGCGCGCACTCCGGTGGATCAAAGCAAGTTCAATATAACGCGGTTTCACCTATAACGCGGTAAGATTTTTTGGCTCCCGAGGACAGCATTATATCAAGGTAGAGGTGTATACTATATATGGCAACAGGAATCTCAAAGTTTTACATTACTGTGCACTTTACTCTTGTCAAAGTTAATCAAAGTAAAATCTATAACTGTCTGACAAAAACAAAGAGGTGAAATCTGTCTTTGAAATGTTTAAAGATATGCATGTTTTCCACTGGAGTTTTAAACCAAGATCCAATTACCACACACAATTCAGTTCTTACATTACTTCAAAATAGCTTGAACAAATTACAAAGAAAGACATAAAAATGAGTAACCTCATGAGCACAATTATGACAGTGTTTAATGTTTTATATTGTAAGTTTTCCCTTTGTTCTGAAGTACTAAAACCCACACACTTTGCAACGTTTTCCAACTCCAGTGAAAACACACCCAATCCAAAATGTTAACAGCAGCCTATGCTTCGGGCATGGTTCTTTTCATCCTCCTCCTACCAAAAACCAAAGTACTTTTGGCAATTACAGGATAATGGTTCTTAAACTTCCAAAAGACAAGAGTACACTATTATCTAATAACAGTTTGATTGTTTTTCAACTAAGCTGGCATGTGACAGAAAAATCAACCTTCTAATAGGAGCCTTGCTTTAACCGTACCTGAACTATGTAGAGATTCTAGACCTACAGAATATTGAGATCCATTGTTGTAAATGTACTGCTCTTGCACTACATAATACCTTTCATTTAGATAGAGTCCAAAGTCTTTATTTATGTTTTTACAATTAGTGAAGTTCATAAATGCAAGAGAATTTGTATGCATTGTTAGGCTATGTCTACACTATGCCGCTTTAGACTGTGCTGCTACAGCCATGCCATTAAGAGGCGCACAGTGTAGCTGCTGTTTGTTGACAGGAGAGAGTTCTCCTGCTGACAAAAAACTTCCACCCCCAAGGAGAGGCGTTAGCTTTGTCAGCAGGAGCTCTCTCACCACTGTTCACATTGGCACTTGTCAGCATAACTTTTGTCTTTTGGTGTGTGTGTGTGTGTGTGTGCGTTTTTTAACACAACTGAATGACAAAAGTTGTGTCTTTCACTTGTCAGTGTAGATAAAGCCTTAATGCCACATAGCTAAAATTTAAAAATCAAGAAACACAAACTTTAAGGTTTCTACAGCAATGTTAACATTTTCATGTTGCCCAAAGAATATTCAAGTCATTTCCTGATTTTTTTTATTTGAACTGTACAACATTAGACCTGTATTAGCACAGGAAAACTAAAGAACATCCTTGTATTGTAAAAGAAATAAGAGAAATTATATGGGTAGGCAGCTTCCCAGAGGCATAGCTATGTTTCTGATAAGTACACTACAATTGACTGCGAAGCACACACTCCTTTAACTGCACTAATCTGCATTTCAAGGAGTGTTCATTTAATAAATACATTAGTGTGGTGCTTACATGAACTGCACAAATGCTTCTATGAAAGCAAGAAGGAAGCAGATATAATTTAGATAATTTTTTCACATCTTAGCACATTCCCTACCAGAACGGAAAGGGTTCAAACAGCAGTCTGCGAACTTCCCACTGTCCAGGGGAATGGCAGCAGACCCCCCACTGCAAAGAGGATAACTTTATTGTTTAGAGAGCAGCTAAGTAGCAGCTTGAGGGCTGACCTCCAAGTCCTTGTCTATACAGGCAAAAGACATGTATGTTTTTCAATAGCATTAATTTAACACAAGTGAAAGTTCCCTTACTTGAATGAACACACACACACTCACTCTCCATCCCCTCAAAACATGCATAGATATGGTCCAATTTATCTATTTCAAATTTCCAGGATCTAGTAGCACCAGTGCATTCTGAGCACAAAACCAAGGGGAAATTTGAACTGAATGCCTGGCTGAATTACATGTTCAAATAAAATAAGAATTTTATGAAAAGTATGCATATTTCTTGAGTTGTGAATCCTTCCTGTAATACCTACCTCTAGATTTAATGTTTTATACAAGCAATTTGTAAACAGATATAAACTTTTCTAAATCAAAATCAGTTTTCCAAATTTGTTGTTGAGATGTCCTTTTCAACATCTGGTTAGACCATTTTAAAATGGGAACCTGTCATTTCTCAGTCTCTCAATTCAGATGTGACTAAAGAAATTCACAAACACTGCTCCTTTTTCATTTAAACATCTTTTTTCCCCCAGGAAGTTATTAATGTGGGAACACTATGTTTAAACAATTTTATAACCTTAACCTCAGCATCCTCTACCAAGCAAACAATATATCAATTGTTTTGTCTATCAGGGTGTCAGTGTTGTGATCTACCCATTAAATCCTAACCTACAAAAATTGAAAACCCTATCTTAAGCAAAGTTTTGACCTCAAAATGGGAGAAGTATCAGAGACTCCATGAAATCCACTAGGAACTTTGCTATTGATTTTATGGGGAAGGAGCTGACACAGTCGACTGTGACGGGTGACAGTAAAAACTCTAAAGGTAGATACCACTGAGCAAAACAAGAAAGTATATGGAAGAGGGAAAAAACACCCTCTTCTGAGCAGTTTAGTGCAGGAAATTAACATGTCACAGCCACATATAAAGGCAATACTAAAGTATATTGCTAAATAGTAACAATATTGTAAATGAAAAATTCAGAAGTTCCAAGACACATTTGATTTGTGGAAATAAAACTCTCACATCAGCAAAATCTTCATTTCCAAGGGAGCTCAAGTTCTTCATTATCCTGTGTTCTTTAGCTAGTTAGCATGTCCTCTATACTATTCATCTCCCACCCCATCGCAACCAAACTGCAGTAAGACCTACCCAGAGACTTCCTCCTGCTCAAACTCAGGAACGACCCCTTTAAAAAAAAACAACAAAAACCCCTGCAGATTCCAGGCACAGACTTTAAGAAACTTTACCTTCATCCGAGGCAAAACAACTCTCTCCCGCATAAAGAGCTCAACACAGACCCTCCCATCATCCTTCCTCCCCTCCGACCCCCGCCCCACTCATTTTCCTCAACTAATTAATTCTTTAACGGCACAAATCGTTAAGAGAAATCCCTCATGCACTAAGTCCCAAGCAGAGCCACGAGCCAGCTCCCCCACGCCCCCCAATCCTGGTATGAGCAGACCCCTTCCTTTCCAATCCTCCTCAGTCAGGCTACTACGGATCCTCTCCATCCGGCCAGGCTATTCCTCATAGCGGCTCCCGCCTCCCACCCAAGCCTAGCCAGGCCCTCCGTCCTTTCCTTCCCAACCTCCCGCCTGCTCCTGGTCTCCAGAGCCATGAAGGGCCCCAGGCCGATCCAGAACCTTGGCCCCAGCCTACTCCTCCCAGCCAGAGCCCCGCAGAAAGCGCCCCCACCCCAAGTTCCCCCGTCTCTGCGGCCACAGCCCCCTCCCCAGGCTGGCGGAGCCCCTTCGGTCCTCCGCGGCGCGTGTGGGTGACTACGACAAAACCAGGCCTTGGGGGCCGGGAGCGGGGAGGAGGCGGCTCCGTTTCACTCACGCTCTCGTGGTCCCACCGCACGTTGCTGCGCTTCTCATCGGGGGCCAGGTTCCTGTCCCGGCCCATGAGCTCGTCGAGGAGCTGGGCGGCCGATATCATCGTGTCCTGATGCCCGAGTGGCCCCTTGCCAAGCACCACCGCCTTCACCCCCCCGCTCCTTCCCCGACCGACCGACCGCTCGCTCGGGCTGCCGCCGGAGTGACAGAGACAAAATGGCGGCGGCGCCGCCGCGCCTAGCTCTTCCCACAATGCAACGCGCGCCGCCCGCGTTCTCGCTAACAGCCCATGGGGCCTGTCAGGGCCTGGGCCTCTCAGTCACTTAGGCCTCAACCCCGGCCTTGCTCGCTAGCGCGCGGTGCTGCCTTTGTGACGAGAGCCTCGCTGAGGTGTCTCTCTCCCATGCACCCCGATGCTGAGGGAGGAGGCTGGGAGTAAAAGTGCCTCTCTCTGAGCCAGGCCACGGCGTCAGCCATCCCGCTATGGAAAGACACCTCCTCCGCCGTGCAGGCCGGGGCTTTGCGGCGAGAGGGAGGTGTGCTCCAACAGCAAGCTCCTCATAGAGGTTGTTTGTAACCTTGGTGGAGCTAGTCAATGCCAAGCCTTCATCCTCCAGCTGGGAGCGGCTTACCTCAGCTACCTGCATGGAGGTACCACTGCCCGGGCCTTGTCTCCACTCAGGTCTGGTCTACACTAGGAACTTACATCGCCATAGCTACGTCACTCAGGGGTGTAAAAATCCACACCCCAGAGAGGCAGCTGTACTGACCTAACTGCTGTGTAGACCGCGCTAGGTTGACCGCGTTGACCTACCTACCACCTCTTGAGTCTGGTCTATACTACAGAGTTACATCAGCATAACTACATCACTCAGGGGTAAGAAAAGTCCAAACCATGAGCGACATAGTTATACTGTCCTAATCCCCGGTTTAAACAATGCTATGTCAGCGGGAGAGCTTGTCCCGTCAACATCGCTATCGCCTCTCGGGGAGATGGATTTACTACACTGACAGGAGAGCTCTCTCCCATCGGCATAGAGTGTCTTCATTAAAGCGCTACAGTGGCGCAGCTGTGCCAATGCAGCATTGTAAGGCCTGGTCCACACTAACCCCCCACTTCGAAGTAAGGTACGCAAATTCAGCTACGTTAATAACGTAGCTGAATTCAAAGTACCTTAGTTCGAACTTACCGCGGGTCCAGACACGGCAGGAAGGCTCCCCTGTCGATGCCGCGTACTCCTCTCGCCGAGCTGGAGTACCAGCGTCGACGGCGAGCACTTCCGGGATCGATCCCAGAAGATCGATTGCTTACCGCCGGACCCGGAGGTAAGTGTAGACCTACCCTAAGTGTAGACCTGCTCTCAGCGAGGTGAATTACCTATGGTGATGGGAGAACTCCTCCAATCGGCATAAGTAGGTCTGTACTTAAACGCTCCAGCAGTGGTGCAACTGCACTGCTGTAGCATTTTAAGCGTAGACATACCCTCACTCCAGTTAACTGTCTCGCTGTCAAGTCACAGGTGGTTTTGCAGAAAAGGCACAGTCATGCTGTTGAGAGACATTGTGGCACCACCGCAACACAACTAGGCTTGGCACCTCTGAGGTCACAAAAACAGCTGGATTTGGGAAGGGGAGCACAGAACGAGGGGAAGGAGATGGTTCCTGGGAGGGAGTGGGGCCCCCCCCCAGGCAAGAACAACAGCCACCAGAGTGAGGAATGGGTGTTGGGTTGCTGATATCATGAGCTCTTTTTTCTGCTCTCAGCAGATTGTTGGTCTGGTAGAAAACAGAAGTTGTGGCTTAAGGGCTCCTGCTGGGGAGTCAGCGGAGCAGCCTGGCGGGAGGAGGAGCAGCATTAGCACCATGGAGGAGGAGGAAGATGCAGCAGCAGCCTGAGAGGTGACTCAGATGACAAAACCCAGGAGGACTTACAGATTTCCTGGGACACTATCTTAAAAAAAGGGATGATCCTGGGAAATCCTGAACAGGTAGCAACCCTAAACAGAACACAGTGGAGAGAGGTGGCACTGCAGAACAATGAGCTGCCATGGCCTCATGAGAGGCCACAGTGACATGGCACAGCATTGAGAGATGTCACTGACTTCAGATACCATTGTGTCTTAGACACATCCATCCCTATGATGTTGATTATTTATAATTATTACATTGATTATTGAGCATTAATAATATGTTCATTGCTGCATCAACGCATCTGTCCTGATCAATGGTTAAAATAGATCAAATCAGGAAGGAGGTGCTTTCATCACCACAACCAAGGAGGAAGGGGGAAGATATGGAGGGAGTGCAGTGTACAAAAATCAGGGGGGAGGAAGAGATGCTCCTCTCTAGTTTTAGGAAAGGAGAGGGAGTTGTGTTGTCCTCCACTTCTTCTTTCTTTAACCCCTGGTCCTGACCCTGCCCTCAGAGCCACATTAATGCTGCCTTGTCCAATAGGAGAATTGGGGCCATAGTGTCTTTGGAAAAACTCACCAGTAACTTTACTCATGTAAACTATCTCATTGATTACAGAGGCCTGGCATAACTCTACAAATGTTGGACTGTGTCAGGTATTGTAAGTCCTAGAGTGTAATAGAAATTTGCTCAGATATTTTTTAAATCATTTTTTGTTTTGTTTTGCTTTCAAAATTCCTTTGTAGTGTTTGCCATCCAAACATTGCAGCCTGATGCTAATGCATGAGAACCAAAAAATTACACTAAGAAACAAGTAAAAAATGACTGTAGTCTATTTTAATGTCTCAAGTTGGATGAAGTGCAAAAAGTAAATATATATAATAAATGATGTAATGTGAGATAGAGAGTCACTATTATTTAATTAAATCTAAAATATTGGATGTGATTCTGCTCTCGTGCTAGTATATGCCAGGAGCACCTCCTCTGAAGTCAGTGTACTTACCGATATAAACTTGATGTAAAATCATAAGAATTAGGTCCATTACTCAAAACAGTGGTAAAAAAAGTTGCTTTTTAAAAATGAGATTTTTATGTGGATTGTGTCTCCGTGTTTTGTAAAAAAGGTAGCTCTACTGATTTAATTAATTACTAGTCACATATGTAATTCTCTTTAGAGAATCAGGGCCTCAGTAGACCCCCTGCACTTGCACAAAACCCTACTGAAGTCACTGGAGTGTGTGCAGGTCCAGGGGTCTGTCCCCACAGTTTTCCTTTCAGAATCAGGGCCATAGACGCTTTATTTTTACACTATCAAACATTACAGAACAAGTTATTTTAAATAGCTCTAAATAATTGTTATAATCATGTAATTACTTACTTGAATAATTCTTACTACTGTTGAGATCCCATTACTTCAGTGAAACTATTTGCATGAGTAAGGATTAGGCCATTAAATCTATACCAGACTATAGAGTTTATTTTAGACTAAGGGCCAGATTCTGGCCCCTAGTACAGCCCCTTTGTGCTGCTCCTGGGGCCCAAAATGGCCTTAAATGTGCTCTAGCTCAGCGTAGCTGTTATGAATTTTCCCGGCATGCAGGACTCCCCAGATGCCATGATACAGCTGGTGCAGGTCAGCTGGACCTGAAGATGGAGTCCTAAGTGTGTATTTTAACTTGTGTTCTATAAGAAGATAGTTGCGAAATAGTTTTCAGAGTAGCAGCCGTGTTAGTCTGTATCCGCAAAAAGAACAGGAGTACTTGTGGCACCTTAGAGACTAACAAATTTATTTGAGCCTAAGCTTTCGTGGGCTACAGCCCACTTCTTCGGATGCATGTGAAATAGTATCAGAGGGGTAGCCGTGTTAGTCTGAATCTGTAAAAAGCAACAGAGGGTCCTGTGGCACCTTTGAGACTAACAGAAGTACTGGGAGCATAAGCTTTCGTGGGTAAGAACCTCACTTCTTCAGATGCAAGTCTGAAGATGATGTGAAATAGTGTTTTTCCTCTCCCATATCTCTCATTATTTGACTTAGAATGAATAAAGAAAATTAGCACAATAGTAAAAACAATGTGAATTGGTGGAATCAATTGTGGCCCCAATCCTACCAATTGTTCTGCTGGATGGACCCATGTTCCCCACATGGAGACTTCACTTGATTTCAATGGGGCTACACATAGGTGCGGAGCTACCTAGGCAGAACAACTTGCAGTTCTGGGGCGGTAGGAATACATAATGTTGTGGTAGAAGATATTCTACATTCCAAATTCTTTGTATATTAAGCAATAATTTATTTTAGTTGAATAAAAATAATCAAGTAGGAGCCTGAATATATCTGATGAATCATACAGCAAATAGGACAGCTACAGCCAGGAATTGCATGCAGGGCTGTTCGTAGGAACTAAAAATCTAGGTCAGAGAGTTGTCACAGATAATAGAGTCCCCCTGAGAAGAGTTTAGGAAACAGCAACACTCTAGAGATACTGTACTATGCAGTTGTCTTTAACGTTCTTCAGAAATGTGTGACTCTATCTGATTTAAATGTAACAGACAGAAAGAATCAATATATGAATTTAAAATTAAAAGAAGAAGAGACATCTCTTATTATGCAAGGTTAATTAGATCTTTGCTGCTCAGTATGTTAGCTTTATAAAATGTTAAATCACCTTCATTTGGCAGCTACTTAACAATAAAGTGACCTTAGAAAGATGACAACTTTTGTAGAGGAGAAAGAACTCCAGGAGAGACTGAGAGAAGCAGCTGCTTTGGGAGATATTGGGGAGGTCCAAAGACTGGTGGAATTCGGAGTGAATGTCAACTCTCAAAATGAAATCAACGGCTGGTAAGCCTTTAACCGGAATGAATGAAGTGTATTTTTAAAGGTTAATAAAACTGACAATTTCAGATACTGTAAAGAACATTTTAAGAGCCTTTTATTCTTAGTCTGCTAATGGTATAGTGGACGTTATATATGTCTTGCATATGAAATATATTAATTCAAGGCTATCCAGTGTTGACAATTTGAATTCTGAGTGTAATTTAAATGTCCTATCTAAACCCATTGCCTAATCCTCCCTCACTAGAGATGCTTTAAAATTATTCTAAAAGGAGGAAGTAATGGTATTGTTGATAATTGCCGTTCTGGGCTTACATTATTTTGTTTCAAAAGTTTTGATTCTTGGTCTCTGATTTTCTATCAGTTCAATGTGTTGCCACCTTCTATTCTATTACTTATACTCATGGGATTAGGAAAGCTGGCTGCACAAACACAGCACAGTAAAATAACATTCGGAAGGTAAACCTCAGACCTGCCAAGCTCACTCATTTTTAGAGAGGCTTATTTTGAGTTACTTTTAAGGCAACTTTTAAAATAACTTCCTGTTATGAGAAAAGATCTTGCAATGTGTTTCAGTGAGATACGTAAAATCTCACAGATTTTTTTTGTTTTGACATCTCATTCAAATACCACTTGACAACCCTAAATCCTGAAACTCTTCTATAATGAACCATACCCACACCAATCATAAAAAATGTTTTTTAAAACTCTTTTAAACATGATTTTAACAATTCAGGCATTCTTGAAGATTGTTTTACCTGGATTAGATTCGGTTTATATCTTTATGTGAATTACTGTGCTATGCCTACATAAGTGAAAATAGAAAGTATGAAATAGAAAGGACAATAAACTGGAATTTTAAAAACTAAGGGCCTGATTTTCAGAAGTGCCAAGTTCCCACGACAGCTGTTACAGTCAGTGGGAGCTGTGGCTGTTCAGCACTTGTGAAAATCAGGCCTTATATGATTTGCTTTCTTTTTTTCTTAAAGAGTAGAATTAGGTAGTGATTTTTCTCCCATTTCACTTTTTCATTATTTCCATATGCATAATAAACTGCTGCTCATTATCAAATCAGTTTGTTCAAAAAACTGGCATTAAGACAACAAACCAAAACCTGGCATAAAATATATTTTTTAAAAATTGCTTCTTGTTCTGTACTTTGGCTATAATTGTGTCTTCCATAATCTTTGAGTCTGTGTGCAGAAGCTGCATCTCTGGAATGGGTCTTGTGTATAGGTCTGATTCTGAGAAGTGCTGAATACTTGCAGCTGCTTTTGACATAAATGAGATTTGTGGGTGTGCAGTACTTCTCTGTATTAGACTACATTAAATCCTCCTGAAATGGTCAGAATGAAACCCTAAATTAGGCCAGAGTTGCTGAGGTTTACATACAATTGGAGCAAATAGTGGTTGCAATTGTGCACTGAGAACCATGTGGCTGTATCCGTGCACTCGTGCAGAGTTCAGATCTTGTCATTGGGGCTCAACATGGCATTAGAGTGTATTTGTGCAGTTCTCAATACAGGCTCATGATTTAAAGTGGAAGCTGTGTGAATCTAAGCATTTACATCAAACATCTCCTTAGTACCTGAAGCTTTTAGATTGTACCTATTTTTTGCCCCAAACCCACAAGGCCTGGTGACTTGGCAGAATTTTACTTCTGAACTCCAAGTGACATGCAGGGGGATTGAATTCAAAGATTTTGCACCAAGTCCAAAGAAACAAAACTGCCAGGGCTTCACAGACCTCTTCTCAGATGCCATGGGATTTTTGTTGTAAATAATATAGGAGTTCTTTCTGTTGAGTTATAACAATTATTTCAGCACACTTAAAAATAGTGGCTTTTACCTCAAATGCATAGTCCAGTCATGGACTACACAGTACTTTACTGTAACTATCGTATCTTATGGCATTGTCTCCAGCTGAAAGCAGATGATTTGCAGTTAAATTCTTATGAAAAGAAGGAAGTTATGGTGGGGGACATCTTAGTCTTATCAACTATCTTGAAAACTCTTGTCTGTGCTGCTCTTATGTTTTTCCATCTTGTGCAACCCCATTTAGAGCAACCCCCCAAACAATAGTATATTAACACATTATGGATATGAAGTTAAGCACACAAAATCAGGAAATTTTAAAATGATGGTCCTTGCCTTGTAATACACATCTATGTAACTTTTATGATTCTTTACATTAAATATATATATTGAGGCATACCTCTAACAACATATGCTTAACATTGGTGCTATGGTAATACAAATAATAATAATAATAATTAATAATGTAGATACAAGGGAGCTGATTCACAGACACTTGTTGTGCAACCTCCTCTTTCTGGCTTATCCATTGGGCTTTTTGATTGTTTGTTTTTTTAAAAATGCCAGGTAATTCACAACCCTAACTCAGACACCTTTATAGGAAAGCAGCAGCTGTTCAATGCAGCAGGGATGGAGTGATTAAAATTAAAGGTCCAGATCCCCAAAACTCTGCCTTTGAAAACATGACTGCTTCTTTCTAGATCTCTAAAAGGGAGCTGAGCTCTTTTGAAAATCTTGTCCCAATTGTGGATGGTGAGCATTTTTGAAAATCTGGCTCTTAACATTTCAGATGCAGATGTATTCCTATTGCAAACAACACTGTAACATTTTGATTTTCACTCTTGGAATTTTTGTACAGAAACTAATTTCTGTACAGGAGTTCCATTTCTAAGTGAGTTATCCATCAATTTAATCACATTTCTGTCTGAAATTTGTTCATTTATCTACGGCTGTTACAAGTAGCTCCTAAAATTACTACAAATAAAAGAGATTAAAGGTGGGAAATTCTCTATTTCATTTTCAGTTTACATTGTGCATTTGACATCACTTTATGTTTAGTCATCTTTGACTGTTGTTTTTCTGGGACTTTGAAACAGCAGTAGGATAGAAAATGTTTGAAAAATGGGAAACTAGTATAAAATTACTAAAATTGGCAAGTGATAAGTATAGTACTAGCAACTGTCTTTAACACAATTTTGAATTTAAAAAATATTTAAAATAGGTGAACCGCCTCAGGAACAAAAACTTCAGAATATTGTATGGTTTTATAAAATATACACCAAAGATAACCAAATGATAATTAAGACAGGCCCTAACTTGCTTCTATATAACCTTTGATAGGGACTAATTTTTGATATAATTAAAAAAAAACATGTTTGTTTTAATAGCTGTTATTTCTCCTAAAAATAAACATCACAAAGCACATCTGAATGACAAATGATAATTGATAAACACTGATCAAGAGAGGTAGTGTGGGCTAATGGATAGGCAATGGGCTGGGAGACAAGAAATCAAGGTTTTGTTCCTGGCACTACAACTGCTTGTGACCTTGCACAACTCATTTCACCCCTCTGGGTTTCCATTTCTCTTCCCATCCTTTGTTTGTGTTTTCTGTTTAGATTGTAAACCTTTTGAGGGAGAGACCTTTTGTCTCCTATTATGTGTATGTATATTGTCTAGCACAGTCGGGCCCCAGTGTCATCTGGGGACGACTAGGCACTACTGTGACACACACACACACTCTCTCTCTCTCTCTCTTACTATCGCGGTGGGTTTTTTAATCCGGGCCCCAATTCTACACAACAGCACTTACTACAGTTAATAATCTTATTGCTTTGTATTCTGTGGGGCTTCTTCCACAAAGAAATACTAAACCCAGTGATAAAAATTTGCATAATTAGGCCCTTTGTTTCTTGCCGGACAGTCTTAATCATACTGGCATATAAAACAAGCAAGATTCTGTGTGTACTTTGCTTTCTCTTGCTTTAATTAGTCTGATTCTCACATGCATGCATGAGGTTTTATAACTACCATACTATTTCCTCCCATCAGCCCCTTCTTCAGGAGTAAACAAAACCAACCAACCAAACAAAAAAATCAACAACTGCAAAAACTCTTGATGTGTCATAGGTGGTGCTGTTGGGCAGAACACAAGGTATTCTAAAGTTTAAAGTTAGACAGGTGTGACCACACCTTTTCCTTAACAAACAAATGCTTCCTGGAGCAGGTCTTTGGACTGAAGTGAATCTTTTTAATCACACAAGTTTTCTAAGAGATTTTACACCACTTCTTTCTCACTCTGCTTGTATGTAACTCTAAACATCCTTTCCTCTCCTTTCTATTAGTCTGGAAAAGGATTAAGGGTTTTCATGCAGTTTAAAGAACAGCATTGGGAAGGGTGGTGGAGAAACAGCACTAGAAAACTAGGGTACTGCTCTTAAGCTGTGAGGTAGTGCTTTGTGGGGAAAATGGGATGGCCATACAGTTTTTGCATATTATAACATGCAGACACATTGTAAACTCTTATAAACACCAGGGAGACTGACCCGCCCCTACATTTCTTCAGGGGCTCAACTCTGGGGATTCCTCTAAAGAACCACCACCATCTGGGGAAATGTGCCTTTTGCCTAAACCAAAACTACAGACCTTCTTTGTGAGTGAATTCTTTCCTTCACCAAAATCTCTGTCTGTATGAAGTAGGGGTACATTTTTTGGAATATATTTTTTTCTCCCTTGCCAGTATCTGAGAATTTCTTTCTTGCGGTCGTTATCCTGACGCATCCTATATTCCTTACTAGGGGTTTTGCCTGGGTAAGGACTGCAGGATCAGGATCTGACTCCAATTGTCTTATTCACTGTCTTTGTAAAGCCACTAGGACTACAGTTTATATGAAAGTTGTGATAGGGAAAAGTGTTGAAATTGATCCACTAAAAAAGTTAGGGTTCTACAAAGTTATTTATTGGCAATTTACCAGTGTTTATGTCAGTGTGATAGTTTGGTGAAAACCAGTGTAATACGAAAGCTCAATTCTTCTTTTGGTTGTAAGGTACCTCAAAATGTCCTGGTGAGGAGTTATTTCAGAAAATAAAAATTATTCTCGTCAACTCTGTTTTGAGATTTAATCAAATTGAAATTAGTTTGGTTCTCTGAAGATCTTTGCTCAGGAACTAGTCTGTTTCATTTTGGTTGGTGTGGTGAACAGAAAAAAATTCTTGTTTATTTTGATTAACAAAATTAAACATTTCTATGAATTTAAATTATCACTTGAAATATGGATCTACTGTTAAGCTTATAATATATTTGGTCATCTTCTTTTGAAAAACAAATGTAAAAAGATGCAGAAGGTGACAGTGATTTATATTCTTGAAATTAGTTTTTTAGCTTTTAAAAGCTAAAAGGTGAGAGATTTAGTTAAACTTTAAAGCAGAAACCATCTGCTGTTGTCAAAAATAGTAACGGTGGTGGTAAAAGCATTACTGCAGGGAAAGACTAACAGCAGGTGTCACTGCAGACTATAAGAAATTTTCAAGGAATATATCTCAGCTTGGTAATGCTAATCTTCTCTGTATCATTCCAATTTTAGTATATGTGCTAAATGAATGTTGTTCTTTTTTGGGAAAGCTAGGCCCTGACTTTTTTATACACAGCGGGAAGGAATAAAATTCATCTCCTGTAGCATGGTTATTTCATATAGCACCAACATTTTCCTTGTGCAGGACTTGTTTGCACTGGGCATGCAAACGGAACCATGCTCAAGTGGTGTCTTATCTGATAGAGTCTGGTGCTGATAAGGAGATTCTCACAAGTAAAGGAGAAACGCCAGCCCAGTTAACCTCAAAGAGAGAGATTAGGAAAACATTGGGAGGTAAGTTGATTAGTTAATATCAAAACTTTGAAGACTCCAGTAATGATCTATTTTAATAATTATGGTCCTGCTCTGTTGTGCTTTTGCGTGGGTGCTGAATCTGTATTTAATAGCTTACAATTCTGTGGCAGTAATTCCCATTTGGCCTTCAGAGTCTTTACTGAGAAAGAAACCACAACTTCAGGAATGTTGGTTCAGTGGGGCTTTTATGGTGACATTTTTTTCTGTATGTGGAAGGGAAAAAAGCTTAATTTCGACAAATGAAAATGTCACAGAATTTGTTTACTACAAAATTTGCGGCTTGATACATATTTTCAAATGGAAATAAGGAGAGGGAAATCTTACTAATATATATAAAGCCTTTAGAGTATATGACTGATAATTCCATAAAATATCAGGAAGCTTATTTAAGGGGTTAACTGCATTGATCTCAATTGAAGATTGTATCTTATTCCATAAAAGTATAGTGATAGAGTAGCAGCCCTAAGGGATCCATTAGTATATTGTGCTTGTAACTATCAAAGTAGCAATGTTGCTACTAAAGATGAGAATTAGTTTGAAGCCTATTCAGAATCTTTGAGTTTCTCCTACCTTTTGCACCCCTTTCTGTTTGATTTCTGCCTTTTTTAATATCTATCTACAGTTGAGTCAGTAGTTCTTTCAGTTCTAAAGATACTGTATACTCCCCCCCCACACACACTCTCTTGGTATTCACAGCAAACCTCAAAATCTACTGCCCTCCATTTATTCCTCTGGTTTATGCCCATTATGAAGACAATGAAGTTATGCCAGCTGATAATATGGCACAAAATATTGGCCACAGGACATTTTTCTTAAAAGATGGCAGATTCTATATCAGTCCAAGTGTTTGGGGGAAAGTAGAGGTGTTTGTGGAATATCCTAGTCACATAAGCTTTGTTTTTATGGAACCCCTTAGCACAGTTATGTGAACTATACATAGAGCTTTAGAGCTCTTTCTTTGGTCTTGTATCCTCTGTGTGGGTGTGTGTAAACAGTCTGAGTCTAAAAACCACAATGTACTAGGACAATTTTAGTTCTCCTTAACTAGTCATAACTAACTTTATTCACTGGACTTTTTTTTCTTTCCTCTATAGTGGAAGAGGATGAACTTGCAGATTTGAAGCAAGACTCAGACTTGCCAATTGTCCCGAATTATTTGGCTAATCCACCTTTCCCTTATGTTTATAACACAATGAGTAACAGCATTCCAGACCCTTCCACAGGCTCGCTGAATGGAAGCTTCCCCATATCCTTAGAATTGCAAGCTGTAGATTATCCCATTTCATTACCTCGAGTCAAAGCATGCACTTCTGCAACATCACAACATGAAAATGTTGCTTCTGCAGTGGCTGATAATGAAGATATGTTGACATCACCCGGAGCCTGTACCATGCCAGAATGCCCAAAGCCTGTAGTCCAGAATGGTCCCATTCACCAGGCATCTGTGCCTCAGAGCAGAAGTTTCCCTTCTCCAGCTGCATCAAAACAGCCTGTATCTCAGCAACAGAATGGCTCATGTCTGGGGCCTATGCCAACATTTCAGCCATTTTTCTTCCCTGGAGCTTTCCCATTTAATATGCAAGGTAACATTAAATTATGATTACAAATTTTAAAAATTAATGCTACTATTATTTTTTTGCTCTGTTCTTCCTGGATGCTGTCGTGTTGGAGAATGAAAATAGACTAGTCAGTGGTTTCAGAGTGGTAGCCGTGTTAGTCTGTATCAGCAAAAAGAACGAGGAGTACTTGTGGCACCTTAGAGACTAACAAATTTATGTATCAGAGGGGTAGCCGTGTTAGTCTGAATCTGTAAAAAGCAACAGAGGATACTTGCATCTGAAGAAGTGAGGTTCTTACCCACGAAAGCTTATGCTCCCAATACTTCTGTTAGTCTTAAAGGTGCCACAGGACCCTCTGTTGCTTTTAACAAATTTATTTGAGCATAAGCTTTTGTGGGCTAAACCCCACTTCATCGGATGCATGCTAGTCAATGTTATTCATGTCTATAGTGCTTCTCTAGTCTTTCACTTTCATGTTCTTATGCATGATTCCTTGTTTGTGTCACAGACATTTTAGGGCATGTTTAAAAAAATTGTATCCACTGGAATTTTTAATACAAATATCAATGAAAACATTTCTTACTCATCTAAGGTTTTGTAAAAACATACAGATGCGAGGGTAGTCTAACACCATAACTGTGGTACAGAACTCTAGACTCAAATACAAAACACAGGCCTATGTCCAATTAATTTGAGGGGGAAGCTTTGGTATCTCAACTTGTACGGGGAGCTGACCACTTAATGTACATAGAGGAAGTATTATTTATCATTCCTTGGGGTAATTATATTATATATATTTAGTAAAACCACCCCATCAGTTCAGTGTAGCCAGTTCTGGAATTGCAGTTAAAAGGTCCAGACTTCTCTTTGAATGGGAGCTGTGAGAAGATCCATATGAATTTGAATGTGCGATCACCAGTAACAGAGCACTGAGTTATGCAGTATTGGATTGCTCAGAAAATTGGTAATAGAAGATAAAAATGTTGCCAGCTGAAATCCAGTTCAGAGCAGTAGGAAGTGGGTTTTTTACCCACGAAAGCTTATGCCCAAATACATTTTGTTAGTCTTTAAGGTGACACCGGACTCCTCATTGTTCAGAGCAGTAGTAACTCAATTAGATTATAAGTAATATTGTCCGTATTTGATTATTACTATGGGTGTATATTGGCCTATATAAAATAAATGTGACTATCGCAGATAAGTTCCTAACGGGACTCCACAGAAACAGCTACAAGTGGCACTTTTGCAGTAGCTTCTCTGTGAAGGAACGAGAAACATGGAGACTGAGCTACATCCTCACCTCTAGCCGTTGTCCTTTCAGACTAAGGCTGTGGGAAGTTGATGGGTTATGTGGAAGCTTACATGGCCACTGCCTGTGCTGTTCTTGTCCTGAATAGGATTTCAGTCTCCATAGCTCAGAATCCAGCTCTTTTCACCTACATTCACATTAAATAAAACTAAATAAAAAATAATGAATGAAATGATTTTAGGATCACATTTTGAGATTTATTAGTATTACTGATGTAATGAAGTCACATTTATTTTTTTCTTATTTGGATGATCGTGCATACTTATATGTAATAGGTATTAATATCTGTATGTATATATTTTACTAGAACTGGTGCTTAAGGTGAGAATTCAGAACCTTTCTCTTAGAGAGAATGACTTCATTGAAATTGAACTGGACAGACAAGAATTAACCTATAAGGAACTGCTCAGAGTGAGTTGCAGTGAATTGGGTGTTAATCCAGAACATGTAGAGAAGATCAGAAAATTACCAAATACGGTATTAAGAAAGGTAAGAACCTTCAGCTTTAAGCAAAAGTTATTTTTATTGCTGTTGTGGGCATCATTAAAAATGCATCATTCATCCCTCAAGCAACCTGCAATATTCCTTACATCTTTGAATATGAGATTTGGCGTACTGCTATCGTTGCAAAGTGGCAAACGTCGTGTTTTTAATGATGTTTGTTGTCTTAGAGAAATATAGTAGATCCATAACCAGTAATGAGCTTTCTTATAATCCCCTGATCATGGAATAAGTGGGCTGTTATTGAATGTTTCAGGATCCATAGAAAAGGGATAAAACTTCTCAGTCAGATGCATACAAGACTGGTAGGAGGGCATCTGATGGTCACATCAGCCAATCATGCATAGCTGTGGCATAGTTTGGGCCTGCAGTACTGAAGAAAGATGCAGAGGTTGGATGGAGGATAAGAGACTATCCAAGGGGCTGGGACAAGGGAGGCACTTGGCTATAACTGTACTGTCAATTACTTTACTGTTTAACATCATGTAAAAAGACATTAAGGAGCAGTCTTTGTATTTTATACACCTTTCTTCCTCCTTTCCCCCCATCCACAAGTTAGGTCTAGGGGACAGAGCAGAAGAGTGGAAATCCATATCTGCATTCTGGTTCCCACTCTGACTCCTTGAGCAAGTCAATGAACTTTTATGTGCATCAAGATAAGAGGGGGATTGTAGTAGTTAGGTAATTCAGAGGGGTGTGGTGTTTGTAAAGCGCTTGGAGATCCTCAGATGAGACCCTAAATGCAAGATATTCAACTTTACAGAATTACTTAATTTTCCCTCTTGTCTTCCAATCTTCAATTCATGTTTCCTAAACTAGAGGGTTGTTTTGACTGCAAAATCTCACAGATCCTGGGTCCTACAGTTAATGGTCCCCATCAGCATATTTCTCAGTTTGGGATTGATCCATGATCAACCCATGCACTCACTGATAACACTATATTGCAAATATTGTGTTGAACAGTATTCTTTCATATTGGGAGGTTAAAGTCAGAGCATCAGCTATAGCTGAATTGCCTTGTTTTATTCACATTACCTTACTTCGGCGCTTTGAAAGACCTGCACTGATTTTAGCTATACAGTGCTTGTGAGGCACTGAGAGCTGTGTGGCTAAATAAATCCTCAGCAACTCTTTAAACCTTTATTTATACTAGAATTTTTTTTTTTTGGAAATAAGCTCCTCTCTGTAAATTGTACAGTGGAACATCTTATTAAATGAGAGTGCTTTGGGCTGCCACCGTGTTTCCTATTTAATAAAATAAGCTCTAAACCCCTAACTTCTTGATGGCTTTCCTGCACTGGTATTCTGTACTGTGTGACTTATATTTCACTTTTAACTATGTTCAGAAATTCAGTGTAATAACATACCCCATGACGTACTGTCATGAATGGTTGAAAGGTTTATGATACTCAGGTGAGCCTTACTAATCTAATTAAATTTTAAACATTCCTTTTAAAAAGCAACTAAATTGTAGGGAAAATGTTTTGAGTTAGGTACAGTTTGTGCAGTCCTTACACAGGCAAATGTCCCATTGAAGGGAATGGGACTTGCCTGCATAATAAATGGAAGACTTGGACTTTTTGTATCTGTTTTCTTAGTTCACGAGTGACCCTTCCTTCACAAACAAATCCTTAGGATGTTGTTGGCGTCAAATGGTGGAGCTAATCTGATTAGTGCTAGATTAACAGACTTCAGTGGACTGTACCTGCACCCAGTATAAGATGACATTCTGACTCTTTGAAAGATTCATTTTCTTGGGTTGCAAAGGAATAAGTAGTTCTAAAATATGCCAGCTAAGTCTGTTCAAAATATCCGCTGTAAGAGTGTCGCTAATTCTTAGAGATTTTTGTCAGCAAAACTAGAGGACACTTGTTTTCTGAGATTACAAAAAAATTAAGTCTTAATGCTGTCTAGTTACAAAGTGTGGCCACTCAGAGGATCAGAGCCTGATTGCTTACTTACTGTTTGCGAGTGCCTTCTTTTACTCACTCTGACTTGAGTCAGCCAGGTCAGGAATGGGGTTGGTCAGAGTGCTGCTTGCTCCAGAAGAAGCTGGCTTCAGGGCCTCTTGGAGTGGAAGCATGGATCAATGTGAGAGTTTTTGATAGGTCAGGGAGGAAGAAAAAAGATTATTGGGGTAAGGGGTCCCAGAGGACCCTGTTCCAAGCTGTTTATAGATAGTATGCAATAGATCTTTAAAGCACATAATACAAGCTTTAATTCCACTAATCATTTTCATTGCCTGTCAATAATATTGAAGAACTCCCTTGAACTATAAATCTTCCCTTCATCTATTGGTAACCTTAATTTGTTGTACATTTGCTTGGCACATTAGTCTACAGTTGACACTGCACGTTGGAAACAAAAAGAATTAGACTTCCTGAAGAAGGATTCGGCCAAAACCAAATCACACAACAATGAAGCCAAACAGACTGATCACAAAGTGGTCAATTGAGCTTATTAAAATATTGTGCACTTGTCTGAGGATCTCACAGCCCATTTGTATACAATTAGTTAACTCAGGGCTTGTCTACACTGGCATTTTACAGTGCTGCAGCTTTCTCACTCACGGGTATGAAAAAACACCCCCCTGAGCGCAGCAAGTTTCAGAGCTGTAAAGCACCAGTGTAGACAGTGCACCAGTGCTGGGAGCTATGTGGCAGTGCTTTAACTTTGCCAGTGTAGACTAGCCAGAGGCTCGCAGCACTCCTGTGAGAGGCAAGTTCTGCATCCATTTAACAGATCAGAATACAGAGGCAGAGAGCGGTAAAATGATTTTCTCAGAGTTACACAATAGAAGAGCCAGAAGTCTCCAATTAGGAAACACCATACCACTTAAAATAACTACATTTTTAAAAAAGTATGAAATCTAAAGTAAATAGAATGCTAAAGTAATGCAACATGCAATAGGAGTGTCTGCCTTATGGCTAGATAAGCGAAATGGAGTCAAACTGCTGGGTAAATACTTGCCCCCTGCTAGCGTACATCTGTGTTTTTTCCTCCTTAAATCTGCAAAACTGAACTCCTGTGCAGTATTTATTGTGGATGCTACTAACGTACTGCATTTTTAATTTATTTATTTAAGGACAAAGATGTTGCAAGACTTCAGGATTTCCAAGAACTGGAGCTGGTTCTAATAATCAACGACAATAACTTTCTGTTTAGAAATGCTGCATCTACATTGACTGAAAGGCCTTGTTACAACAAGAAAGCATCAAAACTGACTTATTAACTGTTTAAAGCAGCATAAAACAAAATATTTGTATCTTGTGCTTTAAAGCAATGAACTTATAAGGGCTAATATCCTGAAAAATTCTATTTTATTACTTTTGAGATAAAGTTGACATGTCATGCACAGTTACAACCTACAGCTCATCTCAGACTAACTTGCTCTGATATGAAACTGTGCTTATGAAAAGAAAGCAATGGGAGAATTCTGAGTCTATTCATGTAGCACTCTGTTCCTTACACAACAGTAATCCCTGACTTCAAACACTGTAGAGTTAGAAGCTCTCAAGGAAAAGCTTAAATTGTTCTAATAATTGTTAGCTATAAAATAGCAGAAGCACTTATGCTGAAGGACAGAACATGAAACCCATTTAGTGTTTGAACCAAATTACTTAATGTGCACAGACATCCCACTGTCATTAATAGGAGATACATGCGTGAGGTGACAAGCAAACATACCCCTTGTTTAGGAGGAAAATGGAAGGATTTAAGTCTGTGGAAGAAGCACAAAACTCCATTTGTCTCATTTAAGTATTAAGTTACTAATTAGATGTGGTTTCTTAAACCTCATTTATAAATATTTCTCAGGTTGAAGATAAAAAATTACAGTTGTTATCCAAATTGTAAATATACCATTGACCAAAATAGCTAGGGTTTTTTAAATCTCATGGCTGCTTCTCAACACATGGTATTGAAATGTTTGATAACAAAAGGTCCTCTCCCTCTCTCTCCCCCTCTCTCTTTTGTTGCTTTATGATCAAGAAGTTTCTCTACTGCTGCTTTAAAATGGCAGTTATTTTTCACTCCATAGACAAGTCAATGTGATTTCCACATGAGAAAGGAGCACAAATATTGCAGTTCCATTTTCCTCCAACTCATCCTTTCATGAACAGATCAATCCTTGAAACCGTAAATTTATTATGTAAAAAGGAAGCTAGTCAAATGCTTAGCATTTTAAAAACTGGGATGACATTTGAATCTTGGGATTTCTAGGCATTTTTTTTCTTTTTCAAAGACAACTATTTATGTTTCTTATTGCATGGTCACCTTTTCACATTCCTGCGAACTGAAATTCAGTGTGATGCTCCTCTGTATGAAATCCTGGAATAAATACATTGGAAAACATTCAAGTTGAGTAATCTGGTAAGGATTTTTTTATCCAGTTTCTTCACTTTCGTAAATAAAAAAAAAAACATCCTCTTTAGCAGAAAGGACCTAATCTGTTAACCTAGCTATAGAATATGTACTGTACTGAGAATTAGATGGATGAAAGCTCTAGATAACAGGGAGAACATAAAAAGAAGAACAGGAGGACTTGTGGCACCTTAGAGACTAACAAATTTATTAGGGCATAAGCTTTCGTGGACTACAGCCCACTTCTTCGGATGCATATAGAATGGAGAACATAGGGAGAACATAGTTGACTGCTGATTTGAACTCTCCACTATTAAGATTTTTTTCTTAGTGCCTTTCTTTTCCAAAGAACCTAACTTCCTAACTCTTAGTTAATTGGATTTAAGCACTACACATTAACTTAGGGTTTATAAAATGGATAATATCAGTAGAACAGACTGTAACAAGATAAGTCTCTTCTCATGGCATAAATGTTAAAGGAGAGATGCGGTGCAGTCTGATCCAGGGACAATCTGTTTCTTTTATACCAGCTTACTGATGTTGATCTAACCACTGTGTTGGAAGTTTATATAGTAGAACAATTGCTCACCATATAATTACTGACCTGCATTCTTACTGACTGACAGAAGAGACCTATTTTAGGCTTTTGTCATTCAGAAGCCATTTTATCTGTAAAAGTACTGTCGTTTTTATGAATGAACTGGTATGCTTTACCAGTGAAAAGGTCAGCCATTGGATTGACTAAATTCATTTGGTATAGTGATTATATTACGCAGTTGCTGGTAGCTATCTATGCATTCAAAGGAATATTTTTATACTTATACCTTATGCAATTTATAACTGAGCATATTAGCTTTGCTAACTGAATTAATTGGATAACTGTATCATGTGAACATTATTGTGTATGACCATCAAGGATTCATTATCTTTGTGCATTGCTACGTGAAAATGTTTAAGTATTATTTAAGTATTAAATGACTTGCTTGGCTCTAGATTCTTGTTTCTATTGAACTTGTATTCTTTTTATAATTAATAAATTATTATGTTCTCAGAGATGGACATGGACATAGAATTTTTCTTTAGCTCATAGAAAAAAAATTGCAACTTTTCTACTACATAAACTGCTTTCTGTGGTGGTTGGTGTAGGAAATGGAAGACCAGAAAAATGGAAATCACTTCAGATCCTGAGGACAATCACTGCAGCTAAAACTTTTCCTTTATCATTATTCAGCCCAATCATCATCCAATGGCAGGTGTTACATCTATGTATTCTTTGGAAAAACCAAGTCATATGTATCAATCCATGATTACAATCGACTTAAGAAAAATATTGAATGAGATACTAAAAGTAGTATTTATATGCTTAGCTGGCTGTGCAATCTGAACTAGAGACTTCTTACTCATTTTCATTTTGTACCAAAAAAGTAACATCTCCCTCTCAATCATGCCTCTACCGGCCTTATCCAGAGCCAATTATAACATACAGATTAGGGTTGTCAAGGGATTAAAAAAATTAATCGTGATTAATCGCGCTGCTAAACAATAATAGAATACCATTTATTTAAATATTTGTGGACGGTTTCTACATTTTCAAATATATTGATTTCAATTACAAAACAGAATACGAAGTGTACAGTGTTCACTTTATATTTATTTTTGATTACAAGTATTTGCACTGTAAAAAATAGTATTAGGTGTTTTTCAATTCACCTAATACAAGTACTGTAGTGCAATCTCTTTATCATGAAAGTTGGACTTACAAATGTAGAATTATGTACAAAAAAAACCTGCATTCAAAAATAAAACAATGTAAAACTTTAGCGCCTATAAGTCCAGTCAGTCCAACTTCTTGGTCAGCCAATCACTCAGACAAACAAGTTTGTTTACATGTGCAGAAGATAATGCTGCCCGCTTCTTGTTTACAATGTCACCTGAAAGTGAGAAGAGGTATTCCCATGGCACTGTTGTAGCTAGTGTTGCAAGATATTTACACGCCACATGCACTAAAGATTCATATGTCCCTTCATGCTTCAACCACCATTCCAGGGGACATGCGTCCGTACTGATGACTGGTTCTGCTTGATAACCATCCAAAAGCTGTGTAGACCAGCGCATAATCATTTTCATCATCATGAGTCAGATGCCATCAACAGAAGGTTGATTTTCTTTTTTGGTGGTTTGGGTTCTGTAATTTCCGCATCAGAGTGTTGCTCTTTTAAGACTTCTGAAAGCATGCTCCACACCTCATCCCTCTCAGATTTTGGAAGGCACTTAAATCTTGGGTCGAGTGCTGTAGCTATCTTTAGAAATTTCACATGGGTAACTTTGCATTCTGTCAAATTTGCAGTGAAAGTGTTCTTAAAACGAACGTGTGCTGGGTCATCATCTGAGACTGCTATAACATGAAATATATGGCAGAATGCAGGTAAAACAGAGCAGGAGACATACAATTCTCCCCCAAGGAGTTCAGTCACAAATTTAATTAATGCATTATTTTTTTAACACGCGTCGTCAGCATGGAAGCATGTCCTCTGGAACAGTAGCCGAAGTATAAAGAGGCATATGAATCTTTAGCACATCTGGCATATAAATATCTTGCGACACCAGCTACAACAGTGCCATGTGAATGCCTGCTCTCACTTTCAGGTGACATTGTAATTAAGAAGTGGGCAGCATTATCTCCCATAAATGTAAACAAACTTATTTCTCTTAGCGATTCGCTGAACAAGAAGTAGGACCAAGTGGACTTGAAGGCTCAAAATTTTTACATTGTTTTGTTTTTGAGTGCAGTTATGAAACAAAAAACACTACAGTTGTAAGTTTCATTTTCATGATAAAGAGATTGCACTACAGTACTTGTTTGGGGTGAATTGAAAAATACTATTTCATTGTTTATCATTTTTACAGTGCAACTATTTGTAATAAAAAATGTAAAAGTGAACACTCTACACTTTGTATTCTGTGTTGTAATTGAAATAGTTATATTTGAAAATGTAGAAAAACATCCAAAATATTTATACATTTCAATTGGTATTCTATTGTTTAACAGCGCAATTAATCACAATTAATTTTTTTAATCGCAGTTAATTTTTTTGAGTTACTCGTGAGAGTTAACTGCGATTAATCGACAGCCCTGGTACAGATTCCTACTAACTTCACCAGGCTTTCAATTGGTTAGTTCTATTTGCAGGCCTTAGATTGATGGGAGGAGGAAGGAATGTTATAGACCATGATTCTGCAAGTTGTTCTGGCCTTCTGGCCCAATGAAGCTCCATGAAGGCACTAGAACAGGTTGCAGTATTGGGACTGCAACGTACAACGCTCTTGCCCCAGGGATATTTAACTTACACAAGTGAAACATTCCTGGATTACTTCCTTTTTACTGGAGTCATCACAGAACATTGTCAGTCTTTCCATTTTAGAATTAATGTGTTTTATACAGAAGACAGAGACAGATGTATTTTATATCACTAGTTTTAATTTACTAATGATAAACCAGAATACAATACATGTTGGCTTGCGATACATACATTTCCTTGGCAGGATATTTGGCATTCTTTTAAGAAAAAATAAAAGCAGTTAATAAAATACTTTATGTATATATAAAATATTTTTAAAAATATAAATTTCATTTTCTCATCATCATAAGTTGTAACAATTCATGTATCACAAGTTTAGTCTATTACAAAGACTGTTCTGTAAAATACAGTACATTCATGAGTCACTTTTGGGATGAGTCAGTCGTTCAATGGTATAAAAGTCTTGCTATGCTAGTCCAGCATCTTTAGCCATACCATAGAAGACACCCCTTGATGCTATAAGGCTTGAAGGTGTATCAAATTCAGCTATTGTTCCTTTGTCTAGAACGAGAACCCTGTAAAAAACAAAAGCGGAAAACTGGTATTGCAGAAGCTTTCCTTATAAGGAACTCAATTCCTTCAACCATGAAATCAGGCATTTTTCCAAATCTTCTCTCTTTATGCTGAATCATTTTCACATGCTGCAACGCAACAGGCTACACATAACACCTCAGCGTGAGTTTATGCCTAATTTACAGAAGTGCCAAACCACCCACAGCCTCCAAAAAAGTCCGTCAGTATCTCAGAAATTAAGGCCATTAATTCCATGGTTTTACCAGTCTCCCAGTAGTAATAATCCATTTAAAAAACCTTTAACATGCGAAGAACATTATACCCATTGCTGGTCAAAACAGATCCATACAGGAACTGGAGATGCCTCAAAGGGGTTGTGAGACTTGTACAGTGGTACGTTAACTAACACACGACCTGCTCCTAATTAAGCCAATGGAAGCAGAATCAGGCCCACCTATTCAGTTATACTGCTTCAGCTTTACTGTTCATAACCTGATTTGTAGGTCTAGAAGCATAACAGTGTGACAGTGAGAATTTCTGGTAATATTTTGATGATTCCTATGCATGCCTCAGTTTTCCTCTGTACTTAGCATTGTTATCCAGTGTCGGGTCACATAGCTGACTGGGGTGAAATGAATGGATCATTAAAGGACTGGCTGAAACTGACCCATATAAATGGAGAAGCTGGAAGACAATAGGGAATCCCAGTGGCTAAGATGTTCACACCTAGCAACCAAACATCAAGAGGAAAGAGGTTTCTCTCCACCTCTTAGGAAAGCAGAGCAAAGGCCCCAGATCAAGAACAAAGGGGAAAGAAATCCGCTGGCTGGGATAAGAGTCACATCTGCTCTTTTTTTTGACTAACAAAGAGCCAGAAGGGATTCCATGGCAACTTGGCTGGGTAGAACGCTGGTGGCCAGAACAGACTGTGTCTTAACCATTATTGCTCTATGCTAACCTAAAGCACAAGGTAAGCTGTGTGTCAGTTGATTAATAAATCCTACTCTGTTTTGAAAAGGCTGTCTGGTGTCACTGCAAATACTTGCTGAGGTGCACTCTTGAGCTGCGTGGCCTACCCGTAAGGAGGAATGGGATCCCTTGGGCATCTGGCACGCTGAAGGGGTTTCTCGGAGGGACTGTTTAAAAGCTGGGGCATAGCACAGATCCTGTAGATTTGATAACAGGCTCATACAAATTCACTGAGAGGCAAAGTGGGGCCCTTTCGACTGTTTCTTTTTCCTCCAATTATATGTAGGGTGACCATATTTCTTAAAGTAAAAACGGGATGGCCTGGGGCTGGCCCAACCTGCCTCCACCCCCACCCTGCCCACACAAGAGCTGCCCTCCCCGCACTGCTCATGGCTGGGGTTAACCCGCTGAGCGCCGTGCCAGGCAGCAGCCACCGCTCTCGGTTCTCCTGCTGGCTGACAAGTGCTGCCTTCAGCTGACCCCTTGGCAGTAGCTCCCACTCTCCGCTCTGCCTTACAGCTGGGACAATGTGCAAATTTTGGTGAAAAAGCAGGGACAGAGCTGAAAAAGGGGACTGGCCAAAACGGGACATAAGGTAACCCTAATTATATGTTAATGTTGGAACATCATGTTCCACTCTGTATCATCCAACAGACAGGACCACAGAGTGCACCCTTCAACTTCATGCAAGCCTGCTTTTATTTTTAAGAGGAGGAAGAGACAAAAAGTTGGAGATGGACTTACAGAGAAGGGAAATAGTATTGGAATTTCAGAGGTTTCCCCAACACTCAATACTCTTAACATTCCTATCTGCATGCAGGGTTACACTGTCAAGATAACTCTTCGGGAAAGATGGGCTGCACTGAATTTGAATTTTGGCATGTTGCAGAGCAGGAAACAAACTATACCACATAGTAAATTCAAGCTAAGGCCAACGCCTCTGCTGTGTGAAACAGTTCTGAGATAAGCCATCTGTTGATTCAGTTTGATATTGACTACTGAGTTTTTGATGAAATTACAAGTTTAGTTGATAGAATGAATAGCAACTTTGATGATAATTTGCTTGATAAAGATAATAATGTTGATGTAATATAGTTACACTTCTGTAAGGTACTTGGTACCAAAAAACATTTTGATTAAACTTGTCTGATACAAAAACCAACATGGCTAAAACCGGACTGATAGGTCTCAAAACATAATTGCAAATGGGAAATCATCATTGAGCAGGTGTATTTCACTTGGGGTCCCACGGAAATCGGTTCTTGGCCCTACATTATTTAATATTTTTATTAATGATCTATGTGACGGGGTGCTAGCTAGGAAACCCTGAGCCAGCCCTCTGTCACACCAGATCCAATCAGGAAAGGGGAATTGGAGCTGGCTGAGTAAGCCCAGGCCTAAGTGGCAAATAGGGAACAGCTGCCGGCCTCGTTAGCCAGGGGCTACATAAAAGCTGGCAGGAAGGAAGCCAAGGGAGAGGAAAGGGAGGAGCCAGAGAGTTAGAGGCCACTCTCCCCTGCTGGCTGCAAAAACGAGCAGTCCCTGAGGCTGTGAGCCTGATGCTGTCTGTAGCTACAAGGTGGTGGGAACTGGTACTGTAAATAAAGAGCACAGGTGATTGCATCAAAGCCGAGGTCTCTGGATGGTTTGTGGGTGCAGAAGTGGCAGAAGATAGAGGGGCCCACATGTGCCCTGTTACAATCTGGAAGAAGACATAAAATAATTACTGAACAAGTTTGCCAATGATACAAAGATTCAGGGAGTGGTAAATAATGAAGAGGACAGGTCACTGGTACAGAGCGATCTGGATCACTTGGTAAGAGTTGCAAGCAAACAATGTGTGGCCAAATGTAAGGTCAACAAAGAATGTAGGATGGAGGACTTTATCATGGGAAGCAGAGTCTCAAAAAGGACTTAGAGATGATGGTGGATAATCAACTAGACATGCGCTCTCAGTGTGACATTGTGGCTAAAAGAACTAATGCAATCTTTGGCTGTATAAACAGGAATGTTCAGTAGGAGTAAGGAGGTTATATTCTCTCTGTATTTGTCACTGGTACAAGCGTTAATGGAATACTGTGTCCAGTTATGGTATCCCATTTCAAGAAGGATGTTGAAAAACTGGAGAGGGTTCAGAGAAGAACCATGAGAATGATTAAAGGATCAGAAAACATATCTTATAGCTAGACACGCAAGGAGCTCAATCTATCTAGCTTACCAAAGAGAAGTGATTTGATCACAGTCTACAAGTACCTACATGGGGAATAGTAATTTGATAATAGAGGGCTCTTCACTTTAGCAGAGAAAGGTATAACATAATCCAATAGCTGGAAGCTGAAGCTAGACAAGTTAAGAATAGAAATAAGACACAATTTTTTAACAGTAAGAGTAATTAACCCCGCACTGGAACAACTTACCAAGGGTTGTGGATTCTCCATCACTTGAATTTTTTAAATCAAAATTCAATGTTTTTCTAAAAGATCTGCTCTAGGTCAACCACAGCTATTGGATTTCAAGCAGGAATTAATTCAGGGAAGTCCTATGGCCTGTATTATACAAGGTCAGACTAGATGATCACAATGGTCCCTTCTGGCCTTCAAATCACTAATCTCTCTACAAATTCCAAGGGAAAGCCGATATTGGTGTTCAGAAATATGTATTCTTGATACAGGTCAGAAGACTTTATGACTTTCTTATGGATTTCAAAGAGGCATTGATTAAAAGCTCTCTCTTAGATTTGTCAAAAATTTCTGAAGGGTGATCAGAAAAGTAACAAAAAATTTTTTTTTCAGAATTATGATGTTCATTCCATATATTTACCATTAATCGCTCTGCTTTTAAGTTTACCTTGTATAATCCATTATTGTGTTCAGTCGATGTGCTATTGTCAGTACAGTGCAATCTTCAAACTGAGTTCTTATTGTCATCTGAATGAGATCATCTGTCTCGAGGTCGATAGCTGCAGTGGCTTCATCCAGGACTAGGATTCTTGTTTTGCGAAGGAGGGCTCTTGCCAAACAGACAAGCTGCCTTTGACCGACACTGAAAGCAAAGACACAAGGTTTTTCACAGACAGGCTCTTTAATATGCATGTTAGAGCTGGTTGCTGACAGGATAAAGTTATTAGACAAATAATGTATTTGTCCAATATTATTCAACTACCTGTAGAGCTAATAAAAAAAGTGAAAAATAAAAGAGAAAATTCATCAGATAAATTATTTGATGAATAAACAGCATTATTCAACCAGCTCTAAAACACGTTTACTTACCAAATACCATACTACAAATAGTAATGAGCATCATTTCCGTCATGGCTCTGAATGACTATAGCTAGCAAAGGCTTGTTATGCAAAGGGCCTAGCGTGGATTTGAAGAAGCGGACGTTTCATCATACTGTAGTTGCTATTCTATTGTACATCTCCAGAGGCACTTTCATCAAGTCCAGCATTAGCAAAATAGCAGACTGGCAAAATTAGAAGAACGTTTTAGAGTTGTGAGGGTTTTTTTTTACAGTGAATTGAGTCCTTATAAAAGGAGCTAGGTTGGCATCTCTTACTTATCCAGGAAACAGGTATAGTAAGGGCAGCACAAACTTCCCCCACATGCCTCACCAGTGGGTCTCAACCTTATCCCGGACACAATACCTTTGGGGTACATAAGGGAGTGGAGTCTTCACCATCCATTTAGTCATTGGCGGCAACAGTTCATCATCATGAGCCAATGTTTTATCTTCACAGGTTGTATTTGTACATTACTGAGTTCTCTTTTGTACATTTTAATTGAACAGAGCCCTTGAAGATAAGGCCCTGACTTAGAAAAGCATTCCTGTTCAGCACATCCTGAGTCAGGGGCTCAGTAGAGCCTGGAGCAGAGAACTGATATTCCTTATGACACCAAAACCCCAATGGTGTCTCAGGACATTCATTACCTGAGATTTTCTCCCCCTTCTGAGCATTCGTACTCCAGCGTATTGGGCTTACTGCTGACAAACCTCTTCAAGTGCGACAACTCAAGAGCTTTCCATATTTCATCCTCGGAATATTTATTAAATGGATCCAAATTCATTTTCAGCGTTCCAGAAAAAAGAACAGGGTCCTGTATAAATAACCCACTTTCTTTAGACAAGAACTTTAAATGTTTTACATACACAAGTGATAACATTTCAATGATCTGCTTTAGGATATCCCAGTTCATTAGCAGCGACATTGTGGTAGCACCTACAGGCCTCCATCTAGGATCAGGGCCCCTTTATGCTAGACCTGGAACAAACAACAAATTCCTACCCCAAAGGTCTTACAATTATCATATGATGAGAGACAATAGGTGGATAAAACTAATGGAGAGATGACAAGGTAGCAGTGAAGAAGTTATGATTAGTATAAGCAGCCGTGGTCTTAGGACACTAAAACCTGATCCAAACCCATTGAAATCAATGGCTGTATTGTCACTGATTTCAGTAGGCCCTGGATCACATCCCAAAGGCCTAGCAAGCTTCAGTTTGAGCTCTAAGAACATTTTAAATATAATCTGTTATGGATTTGGCCACAATAAGCCAAACATCAAAATAAGCATCAACATTTGTGCTCTCATAGCAAAGGGTATGTTAGTTTATTATTATCCTATCTGTGTGCCACAGAAACACTAAATTACATTGAAATACAAGGTCCCAGCTTAGCAACAATATCTTATAAATAGAGCAGGGTGAATTTTTTTCAGCTAACAGTTTATTTGCCAAAAAATGCCGTTTTGGGATGTTCAGAACTGTTCATGAATTTGGGTGGAAGCTGGCAAATAGTTTCAGCTGGAAAAAAAGTTCTTTAAAAAAAAAGTCTAAATGTTTCATTTTGACATTTTAGAAATAAAATGTTCTGATATTTTGTTTTGAAATGTTTTGTTATGAAATTTAGCTACATTTAACTAAAAACAACGCCCCCCACCTCCCAAAAAATTAAAAGGGTAAAAAACACCTAAAGATGAAGCAAAATGTTTAGTTTTTGGTCAAGTGAAACATTTTGTGTAACCGGAATTTTTTTATTTGGTTTTGTTTTTCCTTTCAGTCAGAAAAGCCTCCCCGCACCCCCACAAAAAACGGTCACTTTGGGTGGACCCGAAACAGGAGGTTTTGGGGGGTATACGTGGATTTTTCAGGTTGGCAACTGAACTGAAAATATCAATTATTTGCTCACCTCTAAATTGTAAGCTCTTTGGGGCAGGAACTGACATTTATTGTATATTTGTACAGTGTCTTGTGCAACGGGGCCCTGACCTGGTTGTGGCCTTTAGAGGTTACCACAATATGAATGTTAAATAATGATGATCATATTTTCATGCTCACCAACACTCACCTTAGAAAAGGATATTGACTTTCAAAGGCTATAGCAGGGGTCAGCAACCTTTCAGAAGTGATGTGCCAAGTCTTCATTTATTCACTCTGATTTAAGGTTTCGCGTGCCAGTCATACATTTTAACATTTTTAGAAGGTCTCTTTCTATAAGTCTATAATATATAACTAAACTATTGTTGTATGTAAAGTAAATAAGGTTTTAAAATGTTTAAGAAGCTTCATTTAAAATTAAATTAAAATGCAGAGCCCCCCGGACCCGTGGCCAGGACCCGGGCAGTGTGAGTGCCACTGAAAATCAGCTCGTGTGCTGCCTTCGGCACGCGTGCCATAGGTTGCCTACCCCTGGGCTATAGCATGGCTCCATAGGCCTGATGAGGATTCCTTGAATTCCAGAACAATATTCATTTCCTAACAACAAAGCATAGCACCCATTCCACATGGGTAACTTTATTCATGGGAGCTGTGCTATTAAGTGAGTCCAATAGGACTTCTCTTCCGAGTCAAGAAACTCATGCAAGAAAGTGTTTGGAGGGTGAGGCCCACACATGGAACTGATATTTCTGACACTTAAAGACTTTAGGACATGCCTTTGCAAGTACGACATTTTTCCCTGCTATATTATAGTCTGTAAAAATCCAATAAAACATTTAAACTATACAAAAAATAAGTCACCCCCAATAATTACATAGTGTTAATATAATGTGTAAACTTTAAAACAATGTAACTATTAGAAGGGTCAAATTAAATGAGACATAATTAGGGCTACTAACTTATCCTTCCTCTGTTCTTTCTGCTGAGCTTATGAACCCCAATCATGGGGTGAGGTTAGAACTAATTGCCTTGTTTACTTTTGAGAAGTCCAATAGCGAACAGTTATCTACACTATGGTCCTCTTTCACAGCTGGATTAAATCCTTTACCTTGACTTTCAATTTACATCTGAAGCATCCTCAACTGGGAGTGTTATAAAACAGAGTCATGTAAAAACAACTTGGTTCTACTGTAGAAGTGTACACATATGTAAATATCAATTACTGATTTTGTGGATATATTACGTGGTAATTTGCTGTTTGCTAAGTTACTAGAATTAAGACCCTTTACTATGAGACACACAGAGAGGCACTGACTTACCTGAGGAATAATTGTTATCTTGGATCGTAGGTCGTGAAGACCAATCTCTGAAATTCTCACACCATCTATTTTAATTTCTCCCTTTACAGCTTCCAAAATCCTAAAGAGGCAGAGAGTCATGGAGGACTTCCCAGCTCCAGTTCTTCCAACAATTCCAATCTAAAACACACATTGGAGAATTAGGAACAAAGCACATTTATAAATGGGGTATTAGCTTTACTGAAGGAGCAATTATACAAGATCTGATGTTAAGAAGGGAGACTAGAACCTTACTGTGATCTTCCTCACTCCCTAATGGTCCTTCTGTCAATTGTGTCTCAAATTATTCCCAGAATTTGAGCAATATCAACTATAAATAGGTACATAATGTATGAATTTGATGATGTGATTATGCAAAATACATAGTCTCACATTTAGAAGGTGGCTCCCATTCTGGATGCGCAGCTCTAGGGCTATTCTCCCTCTTTTTAACCATAGCTTCCTAACTGGGGGAATCTCCCAGGAGAAACAAAATAGGCTCGTTGGGGAACGTCATGCAAGGTCCAGCACTTTCAAATATACTGAGAAGGAGCAAAGCCCACAAGATAAAGCCTTTGCTGGATGCTTGGGTAAGAAGAAGGGAGGCATTTGGGCCAACAGGAACACCTCCACCCACGCCAAGAGTTGTCAGACACAGGAACTGACTGGAATCTCTCTTTATTCAGGAATGGATTATCCCTCATTCACTCACACACACTGTATCTCAGCAGAGACAGTGGTTGTAGCAACTTCTCAGGATGTTTCTAAGGCATTGTGAACGCATCAGGCCAGATTATCAGTTGGTGTAAATGGACATAGACCTCAATGGAGCTGGGCCCATTTAGCCTAGCTGAGGATCCAGCCCATCCACTTTTGTTATTGCAAATCTCATGTGTAACATCGGCAACAGAGTCACATATGATAAATGGCTGTACTATACCTTTTCTCCACCTTTCACTCTGAGGCTGAGGCCTTTCAGCACCAGATCCATGCCTTTCCTATATCTTACTGAGTAATCAACAAACTCCACCTCCCCCTGTGTTGGCCAGTCTTCCGGTGGCCTCTTGTCTTCAATTATCCAGGGAGCCTAAAGGAGAACAGTAGCTAGAAATTATTCCCTTAAGGTTTTAAAAGCTGCAGGCTGCGATTTAAAACATTAAACTTTTAGGGTTACTAAAAATCTCACCAGGAGACTAATTCACTTCTGTCTGCTTATTATTTGATATGGTGGAATAATAAGCCAGAAAAACAGATTCCTTCACTTGCATCCAGACTGGTTCTTATAGTTTATGACTGCAGAAATATCTCAACATATAGGACCAGATCCTCAGCTGGTGTAAGTCAGTGTAAATCCGCTGATTTCAGAGCTGTGCCATTTTACCTAAGATGAGGATCTGGTCCATAATGCACTTTTGTGTATCTTGTATCAGAGGGGTAGCCGTGTTAGTCTGAATCTGTAAAAAGCAACAGAGGGTCCTGTGGCACCTTTGAGGCTAACAGAAGTATTGGGAGCATAAGCTTTCGTGGGTAAGAACCTCACTTCTTCAGATGCAAGAGAAGTGCATCTGAAGAAGTGAGGTTCTGAAGATGCATCTGAAGAAGTGAGGTTCTTACCCACGAAAGCTTATGCTCCCAATACTTCTGTTAGTCTCAAAGGTGCCACAGGACCCTCTGTTGCTCTTGTGTATCTTGTCTGGCTTCCTCCTCTCTGCTACCATATCAAGTTCAAGCACCTCACCTTCAAGCCCTTCTCTCATCCTGTATACCCTAATCCTTACATTCTTCTTCGAGTGCTTGCTCATATCCATTCCATTAG